CAGGCAATTTTAGAAATATTTTACAGTAATTTTCTTTTCTTCAACTCTCATACCTGCCTAGATATTTGATGTCATCACTCATAGTGATGTCCCAAATTCAGAGTGTTTTATAAACCTCTCTTTGAATCCGATGGGAATCCCATAGGAACAGAAAAATCATATAGATTATTTCAATAGAGAATTTAATGTAATAAAATGGTTACAGCAAAAAGGAGCAGAGAGAATTTAACGTAACAAAATGGTGACAGGAAAAATGGAGCTCTGTGATAAACAGGCAGGAGCTGTGTGGGGCAGCTGCCATCTCTAGGGCAGAGGTCGGTGTAGTTAAAATCTAGAAGGTCAGAGGAATCAGGGTCCAGACTACTGCGGAGGGGAGGTGGCCCCCCAGCTTGCACAGTTGTTCTCCAGGGGGGTGGGGGGAGGAGGAAGACTCACTTTGGGGAAGTCAGAAAACAAAGGCTGCAGTGACAGACATCAGCTGCCACTGGCAAGCTAAAGAGAGACTGAGCCAACCTGACAAGACCAGCAAGCAAACAGGAAGGAGCAAGTCCCTTTCCCCCTGGTCTAGGCTCCCAGTGTCCCTCAGAGCTCCCTACCCACACAGCACAAGCAACTGTAGGCCACTGAAATCAACAATCCAAATGCCCCAATGTGGTTAATCTAAACTGTAAGCTTGGGTACAATATGCTGGGGTTTTCAGATTTATCATTGAAGAACAAGCTTCTACATCATTTCTACTGAGAACTAATTAAGGGAGAGACACAAGGAGGATGTGACTTGGATGTGGTACCAAATAGATTTGTTAACCCCTTACCCAGAACTGAACCCACCGTCTTGTCATAGGAAACACTATCAAACAACAGGCCTTCCTGACAAGACCCAGCCCTCATGCAACTTAAAGCACAGAGGGGCAGAGAATGTGTGCTTCGTGTTGATGGCTGACACTCAGTGGGAGGAGAGAGAAAGATGGGCAGCCAGGCACGCAGAGTTGCATCTCACAAACAACAGCCTGGAAGACTATTTTAAGTGTAATTTGCTCCATGTGGATTCCTCCAAGGAAAAGGTAGTTACTCCATGCTTACTTCCTTCATACACCATGCCCAACACAAACAACCCAATACTCAAAAAAAGTATCGCATTGTCGTTTCTGGATTAGCGCTTTTTTTTTTTTTTTTTCAGGTCTTGCTAAGTACCTGTTTGTTTGTTTTTTTTTTTAATTTTTTAACGTTTATTTATTTTTGAGACAGAGACAGAGCATGAATGGGGGAGGGGCAGAGAGAGAGGGAGACACAGAATCCGAAGCAGGCTCCAGGCTCTGAGCCATCAGCCCAGAGCCTGACGCGGGGCTCGAACTCACGGACCACGAGATCGTGACATGGCTGAAGTCGGACGCTTAACTGACTGAGCCACCCAGGCTCCCCTAAGTACCTGTTTATTTGCACTTAATACATTTGGGAAAGTCTGCTACATAGCCTGGGTCACTGTGACCACAGAACAACAGATGAAAAAGATAAAGCACTGAACAGCAAGAAAAATTCATCCCACCCTCGTGAGGATTTCAGTGAACCAGTAAGAAATTGAAGATAAATAAAATAAACAGATACAGCCTTCATCTTTTACGAATTACTTCCTCCTCAAATTTCCCCCATATATACACTTTGGAGTGTTTATATATATATTCAGTGCAAGAAATGGTAGCATCAGTACATTTGAAACACCTCTGAATAAAGAATAAAGCTAAAGCAATTCTGCATACATTTCAGTGTGGTGTGAGAACGATATTACACTATGGTGATGAGGGAGAGGCTCTGATAGCACCCATCTGCTTTCCACATAAGAAAAAGAAAACAAATCTAACATCACTTTTTAAAAAATTCTACAAGCCACATGCCAAAAATATATGTTTTTTAAACACGACTGCTTATCATGTAATTAATACACAAATGTCACATGAACTGGAAATAAAGACTTAAAAAGGTTAACAGCTAAAAAAAAAAAAAATCAGGTAAACTGGTGCAGTCACTCTGGGAAATAGTATGGAGATTTCGCAAAAAGTGAAAAATAGAACTACCCTATGACCCAGCAATTGTACTACTAGGTATTTATCGAAAGGACGTAAAAATACTGATTTGAAGGGGCACAGGCACCCCAATGTTTATAGCAGTGCTATCAACAATAGCCAAATTATGGAAAGAGCCCAAATGTCCATCGACCAATGAATGGATAAAGAAGATGTATATACAATGGAATATGACTCAGACATAAAAAAGAATGAAATTTTGCCATTTGCAACGACGTGGATGGAACTAGAGTGTATTATTCCAAGTGAAATAGAAAGTCAGAGAAAGACAAATACCATATGATCTTACTCATATGTGGAATTTAAGAAACAAAACAGATGAACATAGGGAAGGAAAACTGAAGTAAGATAAAAACAGAGAGGGAGGCAAACCATAAGAGACTTTTAACTATAGAGAACAAACTGAGGGTTGCTAGAGGGGAAGTGGGTGGGGGGTGGGCTATATGGGTGATGGGCATTAAGGAGAGCACTTGTTGGGATGAGCCCTGGTGTTGTATGTAAGTGATGAATCACTAAATTCTACTCCAGAAACCAATGCTACCCTATATGTTAACTAACTTGAATTAATTAATTCATTAATTTATTTATTTATATTTTTTAACTAACTTGAATTTAAATATAATCTTGGAAGAGGGGTGCTTGGGTGGCTCAGTCGATTAAGCTTCTGACTTATGATTTTGGTTCAGGTCATGATCTCATGCTTTGTGGGAGAGCCCCACATCGAGTTCTGTGCTGACAACACAGAGCCTGCTTATGATTCTTTCTCTCTCTCTCTCTCTGCCCCTTCCCCACTTATGCTCTCTCTCAAAATAAATAAATAATCTTAAATAAGTAAATAAATAAAGAAAATCTTGGAAGAAAAAAATAAAGTCCTATAACTCAAATACTGAAACAATTAATGGTAATCTCCCATACACTCAGGAGTTTTCTGTAATCTATTAACAAAATATGGTTTTGCTTTTATTTTCTCCTTTTGAGTCAGAGCTGCTCTTTAGACCTGCTGGAGGACATCTCTTCATTATTCATCTACACTAGTTATGTAGGGAGAAGCTTGGCCTTTATCATCTATTTTTTTCTCAAGTATTTTTGAACTCACATAAAAATAAATGCAATCCCCTGAGTTTTCTATTGGGTCCTTGTAGAAACATTCTGAATTCATACTTACGGATTATGTTTTGTGTGAGACACATTATCCTATATTTACCTCTTCCTCTTTCTTCTTTTGGTTTAACCTTAATTTAAGGTATACATATTTTAGTGACTATAGTAATTTTCTAGGTATAGTTAAAACATTATTTTTATAAAAAATATTGCTTGTTTTTCTTCTTTCTACCTTTAAAATACATCATGCAGTAACTCCATAGTGCTTATTGTTACATTTGGAGCCAATATTTTTTTATTCAAATTATTCTTTTTTGGAGGAGAAGGAAGCAAGGCAAGTTTTTTTTTGGGGGGGGGGGGGCAGAGCAAGCATAAAAGGACAGAACAAGCAATGTCCTGATACTCTGGATATATGGAGACTAAGATAATGGCTAGAGACAAAATGTTTTGCCCAAATGCACTAGCAGGTAGAATAGTCAAGGAAGGGAATAGTCAGCAACCAGGCTTTTTGAGAAGCAAGAGGAAAATAGTGCGTTAGGGGAGACATGGAAGACAAAGGTTTCCCTGTGCATCTTAATTTCATGCAAGAAGAAAAAGGGAGACTGATAATGATACACGAGAGAATGTGGAAAAAGATAGAAAGATCTACAGAAAGTGGAAATAATGTACAATCACATATATCACACACCTGAATGGCATGTGATATCCCAGAGTAGAGAGGAAGAGAATTCAAAAGACGCTACACTGAGCGTGTTAAAGAAATCCCTGTTGTCATACTCTGTTGGCCACTTAGGTCCCAAACTTGTGGATACAAGGAAACAAATTGCTCTTATCATTCTGACCACTCGGGTCCAGAATAAGTGAGTAATATCACTTAGAGCATAATATCACTTAGAATTTTGTTGAGGTTCCTACAAATCTTTATCAGACTTTGTCATGTTAGTGGTTCTAAATGTGAGTTTACAACATTATGTTAAGCTGCTGGCCTCCCTTGGAAGAAATCCCTCCAAGATTTTGTTGCTTCTGTGACATTTTATGCCATCCTCCTAATGGTCAATTGTTACCTACATCCGGCTTTGTAACCTGAACACTGGACAAAGCAACTCTCCCTAATAACTGAATCTTCGTATTTATTCTAAATACATACTCTTTTAAAGTAAATGGAGCATAATTAAATAAGATGAAACAAAGATCCTGATATTTCTCTGCCTGTCATATACATATTAAAAAACCCATAAAATTAAACTTTGCTTTTCACAGGAATAGACTCCTCAGGCTCTGATGCACATAATTTTTCAGAACTAATGTCATCCTGCTTAGACTTTAAGTTCCAGATGAGGGTGTTGGTTCTACCCACAGTCCTCACTGTATTTCCTAGGAGGGGACTGCTTAACAAGGTCACTATTTATTCTGTCTTGCTAGAGGTGTACTATTGTACAGAATCGATCATGGCATTATTAGCATATACTTACAACAATAAAGGAGACGGAAATCTTAGATGAACTTAAGGGGAGATGTCAGAGAAAAAAGCCTCAAAAGAAACTGGATCTTAGGTAGCTCTGGGGATTGGCCATAGGAGTCCATGGCTCTCCGCTCCAGTGTTTCATCACTACACAATTCTCTTATGGCCTGTACTTTGTGATTTTCTGCTTACACCTTGTGGTCTGGAAGTACCCCATGCTTAGGGACAGAATCTGATCAATATATAGTTTTAATATTGAAAATCTTATACATGAGATTTGTAAGGCATTTGTATTATCATCACCCCAAATGTCATAGAAAACAACTCTTCCACCATCAAGACCATCTCTGGCATCCCTCACATTGATCTCTCCAACCTCAGCACTCTCCTCAGGGCGCCCTTGACATCGGTGTTCCTCAGGCTGTAGATCAGTGGGTTCAGCATAGGGTTGAAAAGGCTGTAAAACAAGGAAAGGATCTTCTGCTGCTCCTCGGGGTGGTAGGATTTGGGGGCCATGTACATGACAATGGCGCTTCCAAAGAAGAGCCCCACCACGCAGAGGTGGGAGGAGCAGGTGGAGAAGGCCTTTCTGCGGCCCTCCCCGGACTGGATCCTCAGGATGGCGAACAGGATGCGCGTGTAGGACACCAGCACCAAGCAGAGGGGCCCGACTAAGATAAACACAGAAGCAGCAAAAATGACAACTTGGTTGAGCCAGGTGTCAGCGCAGGCCAGCTTGAGGACAGACAGGATCTCACAGAAGAAGTGGTTGATTTCATGAGGCCCGCAGAAGGGCAGCCTCAGGATGAGAACCACATGGACCAGGGCCAGCAGGGAGCCGCATGCCCAGGAAATGACAGCCTGAACCGTGCATACTCTCCAGTTCATGATGACAGTGTAACGTAGGGGGTGGCAAATCGCCACATATCGATCATAAGACATCATTACTAAGATGAGACACTCAGTGTGAGCAAAAGCCATGTATAAAAAGGTCTGCATTATGCATGGGACAAAGGAGATCGTTTTTTCCTTGTTCAGAAGGTTCGCCAGCATCTTTGGGACATTATTTGAGGCATAGGCTATGTCAACAACAGCCAGGTGGGAGAGGAAGAAGTACATGGGGGTGTGCAGTCGGGAATCCAGCCAGATGAGCCCCAGGATGGTGCTGTTCCCCAGCAGGGTGAAGGCATAGAACAGGGAGAAGAGCCCGAAGAGGAACACCTGAGTCAGTGGGCTGAGTGGGAATCCCAGGAGAATGAATTCTGTGACCCATGTTTGATTTTCTGTCATTCCCTGACAACAGTATCTGTATCCGTCACTGCTGCTGAGGAACAAACTCTGATCTGGGTTACTTATTTAACAGAAAGAGGGGTTTTAAGGTATTTACTGTCTGTTTGCTCAGCTGGCAATCCTTTTCAGAGCCATTATGTCAACTCCTTTAATCCACTGTAAAGCAGAAAGAAAAATCTATTCAGGTAAGTAGTACAAGTGAGCCCAGGATTTCATGCACTATTTGGACTTCTACACAATTTTATTTAATTTTGATCGCAAGATCTATGTTTTTACTATTATGATGGCAGCCACAGAATAATGTGTTTTCCAGCATGACTGTTTCATTTGAGAAGTCCCATAGCCATAGTCTCATATACTTTTACTTTCTAATTGATTTAGATTTCCAATTTTGTTCCCACTTCCTTTTTATCATTTGGTTTGCACTTATTTTATAACTTGTGCAGAGTATATTGCACATAGCAGGTGCTCAATCAATGATAGAGTAAATAGGGGCTCCTGGGTGGCTCAGTTGGTTAAGCATCTGACTCTTGATTTCAGCTCAGATCACGATCTTACAGTGGTGAAGTCAAGTCCTGCCTGCTTGGGATTCTCTTTCTCCTCTCCCTCTGCCCCTCCTCTGCTAGTGTACTTTCTCTCCCTCCCTCTCTCAAAAAATAAAAAATAGAGTAAATAAATGAATGAATTAGGGGATAAGATTTATAAATGCCACTTCAAGGAGGTCTGTTTCCCGCTGTGTTCACTAGTTTTGGGGCTTTAGCAAATGAAGTCGTCCCTAAATTTTTTACTTTCTGAAGCTACACAGGAAAATCTGACTGTTTCCCTTTTGAGCATGAGCAGAGCAACATCACTAATCTGGCCAGCATTCATAGAAGTAATTTATCTTATAGGGTCAGGGCAAGTGGTTATCATGTGAAGACTTAACCATGTAATACCTCTACTGCTGCCCCACCCTACCCTCTTGCAGGACTGCTTCCCTGGTTCTGCATAGATCCTACACCCCACTGCATTTAGACAGTTCCTAATACAGCACCCATTTGTTGCATGTATGGATGAATGGATGCATGGTTGGATGGATGGGTGGATGGTTGGAAGATAGGCATTACACTAAGAATGACATCCAAAGTGCCTATCCTGGAATTTAATCAAGACTTTGTCTCTTTCATTTTCTCTGGCTGCCATTCCACCAACCATATGGCCACAGGGATGACAGAAAGGTAAATCCTGAAATGTTCCATATACACCTATTAAATGACAATTCATGATACACATGATCATTCTCAATAGGCAGCTTATGATTCCAACTCTGAAAATTTCAGCCCTATCTTAAGACCAGAAAGTTGCCTGCCCATAAGTTGACCTTGTACCTCCTGTTCAAGACGCTAATTTCTGGAGCCCTGCCTTCCTCCAGACTCCAGCTTATTTCAACTACCGCACTTAAAAAAAAGCCCTTTACTCACTGTGGCACCAGCCCTTGTCTTATCTCAGAGATAGGATTAGATTTAGAGGAAATTGCACAGAAGTTGGCAGAGATTTTGAAGATCTGGGGACTTACCCCTTCCAACTGTCTCTGAAAGAGGGACTTTCAGGTGCAGGCCTTGTCTCTGTTCCCTTGACACAGGCTGATGCAGGTCCTGGGGGCTTCTCACTGTGAACATCAGCAGTAAAGATTTTATAGCAAGCTCATCTTCACCCCAAACCACCCAGATTGTCCCTGAGTGTCCCTGGGGGAGATGAGACAAGGACACATAAGACACAGATACCATCTCTACCAGGAGAACAAAAGTTGTTTGTCTCTCTGTCTCTATTTCTCTGGGCCCTGGGGATGGATGTTCAGAAGAAAAGGAGCTAGCAAGCGATGAGTTAATACCCAGTTGGATCCATACGCAGGAAACTTGTGTAGTAATAAGAATAAACATACTCCTGGGACCGCATTGTAAATTATACCCCCTAAGTATTTGACGGTGATAGGTTCCTGGATCTCCATCTTGTCTCAGATGGATTTTGTGAAGCTTGTAGGAGGCAGAACATCACCTTTATGAGATAATAGCTTGAAAGTCAACATGATTTTTTTTCTTCTCTCCTTAGATAATTATAAGATGGTTGTTGGTAGATCAGGAAAACTCTATCAACCTTCTCAACTATGCTGAGAAAGATGCTGATTCCTGTCCATATAGTACCTGAGATTTGATATGGGGTGTTGGAAGTAAGGGAAAACAGAAATCAGAGTAAAGCTGCTCTTGAAGAGGTTTCTGATAGAAGCCTTGGAGTTTGGAAGGTATCACATCTTTACTATGATATACTCATGAGTTCCATGCACCTTCTAATATAATAATGCCTTGGGCTGAGATGTTGACTTTATATTCACATAATAAAACATAAACAGAGGATGTCTTGAAAATTTTTGATTGTGTCTCTTTTGTGGGTCAGTCCTGTGTGTGTGTATTTGCTCAATGGGCAAAGTTTTGGAAAGAAACATCCAAAACTCATTTATCAGTTCACATTTGGTTCTTTACTTGAAAGAGGAGAAGTAGACTGTTAATGTGTGAACAATATGGTTCTCCGTTAACAAGGGAGGGAAGGAAGTATACCTATGGTTTTTGGCTTACATCCTAGTCAAGGATTCAAAGCATATGTATTTCTATGGGCAGAGTAAAAAAACTCAAGTAATAAGTGTCCTGAAATTTTGGAAGAGTGAAAAGTTTATAAGCTATGTACAGTGGTTACAAAATTAACTGAAGCATTTAAGATAAATTTATTGACTACCTAAAACTGGATAATTAAATACTTCCATGATAATTTTCAATTTCTATATAATATTCATAATTATCTACATGTAGATTCTTAATTTCAGTCATTCTTTTATTAATTTATAAAATTCATTCAATTTATATTTACTGAGCCTCTGTTATATGTGGGCACAGTCCTAGACACTGGAGAAGCAAACATTAATGAGATACTGCCTTGATCTTCAAAGACCTTACAGTCTCTCTCAGAGTGAGCCATGCAAACAAACAATTTAGGGGCTATGATAGAACTGTGCACAGTACACCATGGGACCAAAGGAGAATGTGCTACATTATTCTGAAAGGGAGTCAGTATAGGCTTGACAACAAATGAGATACTTAAGCACTGTTCAGGAGGACATAAGGTGAATAGAACACACCAGGCTGTCCCCTAGGGTATGAGGAGGGAAAGGAAAAAGAACAATATTGGAAAGGGGCTTCATAAACAAGCTTCTGTATTATGTCAAAGATGTTGGACTTTGTTGAGAATAAAAAGTAGAATTGTATGACTAAATACATGGCTACAAAGATTACTTCTTGTTTAGTGTAGAAGACTATTTAAAAGAAGAAGATTGAAGACTGTGAGGCCAAGCTATCTGAAGAGTAGGTGTTCAAATGAGAGATAGTGAGTACTTGCGTTAGGGGTGGTTACCATAGGGGTGGGGAGGAGAGAATGAGTATGAAACACAATTATAGTAAAACCTTGGTTTGTGAAGATAATTCGTTCCTGAAACATGCTTGTAATCCAAAGCACTTGTATATCAAAGCAAATTTCCCCATAAGAAATAATGGAAGTTCAGAGGATTCATTCCACAACCCAAAAATATTCATATAAATGATTACATTATTGTAATATAATGAAAAATAATAAAGAAATACAAAATATAAAGAAAAATAAATTAACCTGCACTTACCTTTGAGAACTTTCATGGCTGATGCGAGGTAGACAAGAGAGAGAGAGGAGGATTGTTGTGTAGAACGACTTTCACTATCACTAAGGGAATCACTGCTGTCTATTGGCTCAATGGAATCTTTTTCTGCATGGGGCCATTGGTTATGCTTGCACAGATATTGACTACACTACAGTATTAATAAACTCTTGTCATAAACTGTATTTAATGTAACTGGCAACATGGCAGCAGAGGAAAGAGTCTATATCTGCAGGCAGCCTGACCTAGAATGAAGCAAAGCATTCCTAAGCTTACTCTTGAATGGAAAAGCAAAGGACCATCCATAGGCTCTTTGAAGTGACAAAAAAAAAAAAAAAAAATACACTAATGCCAGTTGTGGGCACCTTCCAACATTCTGAAAAATCACTGACTTCTGCCAAACACTGTGGCCTGAGATGGAGCATCCAAGCATGAGAGCTGATCACCCACAATCCCAGAGAGAGAGAGAGAGAGACAGAGAGAAAAGAGCCATTGGCTCAGTTGTGATCATGTGATAGACGTTTGGTGTTAGGTATGACTTGTATTGCAAGACATCACTCATTTACCAAGTTAAAATTTATTAGAAATGTTTGTTTATCTTGCAAAACACTCGCAGAACAAGTTACCTGCAATCCAAGGTTTTACTGTAACACTATTTAGTGACATTTTGTGTGTGGTGAGGCAAAAAGCAGACCTTGGATGCTTCCCAGGTTGCTGGTTTATGTGGTTGTATATAGAGGTGGCTTCATTCACTTATACAAAGAATACTTTGGGGAGAATGTATTTATGGTAAGGCCTGAAAAAGAATATAGTTTTAACATGATGTGGTTGATGTGCCTAAGAGACATACAGGTGGATATGTCCAAGAAGGAATTAACCAAATTGTTTTGGAGTTCATGAGAGATAACTAGTCCAAAGTCATGGATTTGGGAATCACATGCATTAGGTGATAGTTAAAGCCATGATAATGAAAAAAGTCATTTAAGGAGAGTAGTTTCGTTGACAAGAAACAAGGACAAGAACAGTGTCTTAAGAATGACCAATATTTAAGAGTTGTACAGAGGAAGATAAACCTCCAAAGAAGAGCAAGAAGAAAGATCAGAGAAATAGGCAGCAGACCAGAAAATAGAAAGGAAGGAAATCAGAGAGCGATGTTACTCCAGGACACAAACTAAGATATGAGTATTTAATCCTTGGAGTAATTCTATCTTTTAGATACAAGAATATTCTCTTGCCCAGAACTATACTGAAGTGAATATTTATAGAAAAAATAAAATAAAACCAG